TGAAGGCGCATGATGCACATTTTTTCTCGCCCTTTAGGCCCCATTTACGTTCTCGATTCTTGGTTTTCCATGAATGTGCGCCAAACACGTGCATTCAATGTAACGCTTTAAAAACGTGCTACACGCTTGGAGTGCCATTACTTCTTGATGGCGCCGCAAACAGGGCCGGCAAAATGCACCTTAATAAAATTTGGTATGTCTGCAGCAGGATTTGCTGCATGAGCTACTATGCCGCATTTGTATGATCAGCCCATTGAAATAATTGAGCTGATACGCGGCAACGCATGTTCACGGAAAGTCAAGGCGTGAACAGCAAAATTCTAACCGTGAAAGAGATTTCCATTCAGCCAAAAATAGTACTTTTTGTAATGTGCATAAGCCTGGCATAAAAGAAACCTTTTGAAAGTGTTTTAGAAAAATTAGCCCTTGCAGTGGGGCTACCCCCCGTACTACAAGGGTTAAGTGCTTGTTTTTCTCTAGGGGCTTGAATAAAGATGAAATACTCACCTGATCCTCAGTCCCTCCTGGCTCCTAGACCGGTTCCTGCAGCCTCTTCTCCACTGGGCTTCGGGGGAATGAGCCCTGCTGACATCAAATACAGTCCATTCACGTATTAGAGGTGAGGATACCAAGGAACCACAGCCAGAGCAAAGGGGGAGAGAGGCGAGAGGTGAGTGGTCACTACCGCAGGATTGAGGTTTGGGTGAGTATTTCTGAGGTTCTCTAATCCTCATTGAAGTCCTTGCTGATAGCTTCTGCCTATCCATCTTTATCTTCACTCACATGAGGAATACACGATTGGTCCAAAGAGCACAATCATATCTTTCTCATGAGAGTGATTGCATGGCAACTGAAGTCCCTTTGCAACTGCCATACATCAATGTTCAGCTCTATTTTGTGTCCAAGAACAGTCCTAAATAATTATTATCTTCCTGAGTCAACAACAGCCCCGACATTCCCAAAGCACCACCTGTGCATATGGTCATTTGGCCATTTACTAGCGTGTGAAAGTGATTATTGATCTCAGTACGACAACACTGAAATCATAGCAATGCAAACTCTTTTAATGATACTGGTCCCAGAGAAAATACAGCCTTGTTTGACCAGTATTATGGAAATTTTAATGACCTAATATAGCCATGTAGCAATATAAGGTCATTGGTGTCACTGTCCTTTGCTTGCGTGCAGTGGTGGGTGGAAATTCCAAGCCACAGCTGAATTGGCAGAAGCAGTGTCTTTTCTTTGGAGGAGCTCGGGACAGGTTTGGGACGGGTTTGGTCCTGAGCTCCTCTATACTGACAGTGATGAGTGGGCAGCTTGAGCCTGACACATGCTAGATTTGCTTCCTACCCTTCATTCAACCAAGCAACCTGCTAGTCAAAGGTCTGAGCAGTCTCACAGACCAGTAATTTACCAATTATGGTGGTTTTTATAGCTTTAGATGGTCTCATACCATTCAACACAAGTTGTGACAGTTGACATTTTACACACAATGGTACTTGAGAAAAAAGCGCCAGATTAGTTAGCATTATAGTAAACTAATAGGTGGAAATTGCAGTAATTATAATCAACCAATCAGTTCTCGCCGATCTGTTCGCCGTTGCATCCAGCAATTTTTCAATTCATCATTGAGCTTTGCACCGCTCTATTAAATGGGCCTATAGGTGTTCAGAAAACCTTTCGCCTGTTAATTTTATACTTTTATACATAAACATGATTCAGTATTCTTCATCGTGCCTTAATGAGCTCTCTGTGTTCTCGGATGCGCTGGCAATATCCCGCGTGTTACTGAAGCATTACGTGAGGTGCCTGAGACGGGTGAAACAAGGATAGAATGCCTAGGACCTAATTATCAAATGTAACCCAGAACCTGGCGTTTAATCAGGAGCAGATCGGTTTACATTGTGAGCGAAAGACGCTCACACACAAGTCAGCCCGGGAACTGATGAGAAATGAACGCGTGGCGATCTAAGAAGAAAAAACAAGCCATAAACTGAGGGGAAATTAATGAGGTGAATAAAATCGACAGACAGACATTATCGGTTGGACGGAGACCTTTCACTAGCGATGTCTGCGTTTATATGCATATGCTGAATGAATCATTGACGTTTAGTCAAGCCTGTGAAGTGTATTGACTTTTATGGGGCACTGATAGAGGGAGATGAGCAATATTCCAGTGATTTAAGCACCACGGTAGCAGCCATTTTGTATGCTCACTGCTGACTGTTTATGACAGGGGTAGGCAGCCTTGGCACTCCAGCTGTGGTGAACAATGAAACCCATCATGCCTTTGCCTCTGTGCCTGTAGCTGTCAGTCTTGCTATACCTCATGGGACTTTTAGTTCCACAACAGCTGTAGTGCATAGGTTGCCTATCCTTGGTTTATGACAGGGGGGAGCCAACCTTGGCACTCCAGCTGTGGTGAAAGTACAAATCCCATCTTGCCTCTGCCTCCGGGGGGTAATGCTTGTAGCTGTCTGTCTTGCAGTGCCTCACTGGTGGACTTGTGGTTGCAAAACAGATAGAGTGCTGAGGTTGCCTATCCTTGGCTTATGAGATTCACTTGAAGTTAATGACATCCATATTGGTTTCGCTTGCAAGTGTAGACATCCTACTGGAGTTAGTCTTGGCATTTTTCTGGAAACTTCTAATACTGTACCACCCAATTTTCTAAGATGGTGAAGAGGGATGTCTTTCGGCAGAAAGTATGTAGACAAAAGACACAACCCTACCGTGCCCCCTACACACTTGGGCTGTAAGAACGTGATACGCAACAATTACTGATATAAGCGAACCTATACTCTCCTTCATTCCGGTGATGCAACATCTTTGAGCTCCCTCGCTGGCACCAACATTTTCTTGCTGGCTTCTTCCGGGTTTGGGATCTTTAGCCATCTTGATTGGCCAGGCCTGAATGGCATAACTCGTAATAACTAATAAATTCATCCCGGTACCCATCAGATGCCAGAATTGTGCACTGAGTTGTATTTGTGCAGCTCAGTTTACAGTGTAAGTAGTTTGTGAGGAGGAAGGTAAGAGTAGTTTATTGCAGAAGAGACAAAGTATGTCTCTTCTGCCATAAAAAAAATATTTTTAATTTAGAACTAAATTCCACTTTAAGCCCATCAGTGCTTTTTTTCACCGGAAACTTCTAAAACTGTACCACCCGACTTTCTGAGATGGTCAAGAGGAATGTTTTTTGACACAAAGTATGTAGACAAAGGACACAACCCTACCATGCCCCTTTAGATACTTGGGCCCTAAAAAAGTATAACGGGGCTGCTTTATAAATCATTTGCACAGCTTTTTGCTATGCGATTAAGATTTACAGCAATGTATGGCCACTAGATGAAGCCAATGTGCATAGGAAATTCCTATGCTCATCAGCACCATCTAGTGGCCATACAGCACTCTAAATCTCGTTCTCTTTCTCTGTGCGAATGGTTTATAAATTAAGTTAAAGTTATAAAGTAAATAAAGTTTGCCTGAAGAAGGGACTGCCTGGTCCTGAAACGTCGCTTTGTGTATGTGACATCATGTTCAGTCAATAAAGGAGATTGACTGCTATCTACAAACGGAGTGCGAGTGACTTCATGGTATTTTGCATTTGATGTGACTTCATGGTATTTTGCATTTGATGTGCGGAGGCATTCGCTGTCACTTTCTAGCACCCCCCAGTTTTCGTTTGGGCTTTATTTGGTCAGGAGTGCGATGGGATCTACTACATTTTGAATTTGGTTTATAAATCAGCCCTTTAGTGTAGCCCTTTTAGTACCTCTTTTTTCAGAGGTCTATATATCACATCAAAAAGAGGGACAACTGATGAGGAAAGAGGGACAGAAGGATTTGGTCCTGACAGAGACAACGTGATTCTAAATGAGGGACAATAGGAACCTATGTTAAAACTTCTGCCAGATTTCAATCTAACAATGTGGAACTGAAAGGCCCACCGTGCCTCCATTGCTTTTGTTAATCTCCTTTTTTTAAGCTACTAAATAATTTCATATAATCCTGAATTGAAATTGCCTTTGGGTAGGTCTTGCTGTCTTTTGTTTTGTCTCCACTGCAATTTTGCTCATCCAGGAAATTGAAAATTAATTGAAAGCTTCCAAAGCTTCCAAAATCGCCAAGTGTTTAGAGCCTGTTTCGATGGCCTCCTCTTAAATCTGTAGTATTCATTTAAAAAAATACCTGGCTTTCATGCCATCCAGTCACTTTCTGTTACAGAGTGACAACTGTCTTCCAATTATACTCCTGTGTTGTCACCCTGTTTCATGCACCACTGATGCAGACTGTAAGTGGCTGTGCTGACTGACATTTCACAAGGCATGAAACACCTTGTGTTCAACCAATGCCAGAGAGAGTACATGTAGTCAGAAAGTGAATGAAAGAGGCTGGAGGAGTTCAAGAGCACTGAGATGCAGAAAAGGTATAGACTGTATGTTATGGGAGAAAAAAGACACAGTACACAGTGTTTTAGCCAGGTGTGTCCCTAGTAGAATGGCCAACTGAGGCGGGGCACCGGGAAGGTGGCGCTGGTCACGTTTTGTGAAGAGGGAATTTGTGTTGATGGGGTTGATAGCCAGCATCCTAGTGGTGCACTGCCCAGCTATGATAGCCGGTGTCCCACCCAGCTCACTGACATCACTTGTTGCCAGGAGCTGAGCAGGACGCCAGCCAGAGCATCGCAGGTTGCTAAGAGTTGGGAAGGGAGATGTTTATGGCTCTTACACATCTCCCTGCCTAACTCTTCTAAGCAACTTGGGACTCTCTAGCCAGAAAGTTGGCGGCAGACCCAAAACAGCCTCAGGCTCCCTTCTTATAAGGATGGCCCTGGTTTTAGCAAACTAAAAAAATCTTGGTGCCGTGGTTTACATCTATTTTACTGAATAAACATCCACCAGAATCTGATTGTCAAAATGTGGCCCAACCTTGTCCATAACATGGTCTCTATCTTACTATCATTCTAACCTTCTTCTTCATTTTTTTTTATCTTGCAGTGTGTCAAATTCTACCGAAAGGTGTGGTCTCTGTCCTGGGACCTTCTGCCAGTCCAGCTTCTGCATCCACGGTCAGCCATATATGTGGAGAAAAAGAGGTGAGCAATCTAACTATAGATGACCTTCTTCTCCATTGACCAGTCTGCTGAGTTTAGATTGTGTGTCATCTTTGGACATAACGTGCTTGGTTTTGCCCAATAAGAGAGAGGTTGGAGGTATACACATGCTGGGTTTATTCTTTTCTCAAGCCCGTGACACACTGCACGCAAAGCTGTGCAGAGCGAAGAAAAGCTGTGCGGCACGGAGCTTTGCGTGCAGTGTGTGAGCTGGGTCCAGGCAGATGATTGACTGCACCTTCAGCCAATCGGCTCGTCTGTAACAACCGGCCAGATGTTGCATTCTGACGTGCAGGTTTATACATGTGAGCCGATTAGCTGAAGATGACATTTTTCATCTCGGCACGCTCCGCTATGCGAGCTCTCGCAAGCTGACGTGTTGGGGAGAAAATTACATGGCACACTGCTCCCGAAGGCAGCGCGCCACCGCTCTGCACTGCTTCGCGTGCAGTGTGTCACAGCCTTTAGTCAACTGTCTTGTACTGCTCCAACCTACCCCAGTACCCTGTCTTGCCTGTCATAGTTACATAGTTACATTGTTAGGTTGAAAAAAGACGTAAGTCCATCAAGTTTAAACTATAGAAAAGAGAAAAAATTGCCAAAAACATAAACATGATGGACTAATAAAGTAGGAAAATAAGGTAAGTGTGGACAGTAATATAAAAGAGCACTCTACAGGGGACAAACCATGAAAAGGGGCACTCTAATGGGAACAACGAATAACTAGTTGTCCTCATCAGGGTGCCCCCTTACATTGGTTGTCCCCATCACAGTGCCCCCTTACATTAACTACAAAAACAAGGTGACAATCTTTTAGGACAATCAATTTAAGGGGACACTCTGATGTGGACAACTAAATATAAGTTGTCCTCATCAGAGCGCCCCCTTACATTAGCTAACGAAATATATAGAGACACCCGCACTCCAATAGCAAATCGGGAAGAACAAGTGATACAGATGCAGGTGAGAACACATGTATATATACACACCACAATCTGAAAACCAGCCAATCACAGAGTCTGCTGTGACCCTATGACATATGGCATTTATTGGAGTGCTGGTGTCTATATATTTTGTTTGACAGCCGCAGCACCCACCCTCATTATCTTTGGAACAGCGGTTTCTAGTGCAATGGGTTCATGGACTTTACCCTTACATTAGCTGCCCCCACCAAAGAGCCCTCTTCCATTATTACGAGAGTACTGGGCACTCTGATGGGAGCAACCAATGTAAGGAGGCACTCTGATGGGGACAACTAATTATTAGTTGCATCCATCAGCGTGCCCCCTACATTAGCTGCCACCTATAAGATTTTCAGATCAATTTACGTATGTGCGTGTATGCCTACGCACCTTCACAGTAATGTGTTGGCGCTCCACAACAGTCCCAGTTTCTCATGTGGCCCCTTGAGACAATTAATTGCCCACCCCTGTCATAGACAGATGTATCTGTAACAAGATCCCACTTTAAAGATTCCTCCTCTATTCTTATTCCAATAACTCTAAAAGGAAAAGGTTTTGGCTTTAAGATACACTTTAAGGCATTATAGACGGGGAGAAGGTTGCATTGACATTGAAGTAATGGCTATTCGGTGTCAATAGAAGCGAGACATTGTGAAAACATGCTTCATTTCCTGGCACAGACACAAAATGTGATGGCATGATACTGTCTTCCCAACAGCACATCTAAAAGCAGAAAGCAGGTGTGCATATGGCATTACTCTTCACATACTCAATCCTGAATTTTGAGTTTTCCCATAAAACTAATCAGAAAAAACAAATTGATTAAGGCCAAGCTTCCAACATCCACCTTGCTCGCTCAATCCAAAGCTGGCAATAGAAGAATTTGGTTAACACCAGCGTCAAACTGAAATATAATTCATCAAGAGCCGCAAAAATGTATGGATATAGTGGCTATTATGTTGTCTGGAAACCATACAAGCAAGACATGTTTTAACCTTAATACAGTGAACACCCCGTTATCCGGCATCCACAGGGATTGGTAGATTCCAAGTGTAGTTTCTGATTGCTTGAGAGTTACTATTAAAAATAGATCTAACTAATGCCATACGCCATACTATACCATACCATAAACTCTGTATAAACTTCATATTAATATTGAATATTGAAATTCAGTAATCAAAGACAAATTAAGACAAATAGACATACGATCAGTTCCAAGATAATTTCATGCCGCAGATCAGCAAAACAGTGAGTACACAGGGGATTTTCTTGTTCTGGTTAGTTGAATACTGGATAACTGAGAGTTTGCTGTAGTATGTCTTAAAAAACAGACGCAGTTAAAGCTGAAGTTTAGCAAAAAGTTACTGCTCCAGTGTAATAATTTGCCTCAACTGAAGAAATTCCCACATTCTGCTGGCTTCTGGTTAATGTAATAATTCATCCCTCAGTGATGCCGGATACTCCTCACAGTGCTGATCTCCCGGCATTGCAAGCAGGAAAGACTGTGGCTGCTAACGTTAAGGATTGCATCATTCTCCCTCTCCTCTCCCCTTTCTGTCTCCTTGCCCATTCACAAAACGCCTTGTATTATTTCCCCACAATGTAAGGCGATTTGTGAATGGGCGAGGTTGATCCATTCACCCCCCATCTATTCACAGAATGCCTTGCATTCTGGGAAAATGATACAAGGGGTTTTTACTCCACTTGACTACCAAGGATTTTTGCAGACGAGGCCATGTGTGCAGGTAAGAGGAGCTAGGAAGGAAGGAAGGAAAGGAGGGAGGGGAGGGATGCACCGTGACTAGCCCACCTGAGACCCCTTCAGAGCCCACAATAGACAGTCTCAGATGGGCTGTGCAGCATCTATGGTGGGCTCTGCAGGGTCACTCTCAGGTGGGTCCTGCGTCCAGCGCGTCACTAAGCCCTGCGTCCAGCGCGTCACTAAGCCCTGCGTCCAGCGGAGCGGGGGGGTGGGGGAGAGGCCCAGCCTAAAGCCGTGTAAGGGGCCACAAAATTTCTGATGGCTGCCCTGACAGCTGGAGAGCCGGAGTTGCCCACCCCTGCACTAGACTCACTAGACCTGTGATTCTCAACTGGTGACCCAAAACTGGGTTGTGACCTCATGTTCAGTGGGTCACCGCATGCCTTCCATAGCACTAGGTGACAGGCTCCTCAGCCTCCAACATAGCGCAGCACTGTGAGTTCTCATGCCGAGCAGCTATTAAAAATACTGTATGTTGCCTGGCGCTGAGTGTCAGCTTGAGGTGGAGTGGGCTGGAGGTATGGCCGCGAGGGAGCTCCATCCATACGTGCATTGCTTACAGCTCCCTCGCGTGACTGGAGTGGCGTCATATTCTGGCTCCCGACACCTCTACAGGGAGTGCAAGGGAGCTGTACAAGCAATGCACGTATGGATGGAGCTCTGTCACAGCGCATCAGCCCACACTGAACCCCTAAAATGTTTTTGGGAGTGTGTTTGTGTGTGTGTGTGTGAGAATGTCTGTAAGTGTGTGAGATTGTGTCTGTGGTTGTGTGTGTCTGTCAGTGTTTTAATCGCAGTCTTCCACGCAATCGCACCTACTGTTTGATCTGGTGCGTGATGTGCGGGAGGTACGTTTCCATTGCAATTCATTTGAATGGCACCCAAAGCACACCTCCCGCCCACAGTTTAATCGCTTGCACAGGAACATGCAATACTGCAATGCCGTGTGTTCCAGTGTGGTGCGATTTGGGCTGCGACTTAATGACCAAGGACAAATGGGGATCCCGAAGTTATACAGGTTGAGAACCACTTCACTAGACCACCAAAGATTATTACTGTGGGGGGTACCCCTTAGACCACCAAGATTTATTAGTGGAAATGTTTCATATTGGGGCACTGTGGCACCTTTGTATAATCAGTTGTGCCACGTTGGGACACTATAATATATTTGGATACCGTGTGACATTATATTCTGCCATGTTTTACATTGCATTATGTGTTTTGTGACAACCATGGTCGCTATTATGTTAGCTCTGTGAGCTCTTCTCTACTTTTGCAATGGCTAATCTGTGTTTTATATCATAGACTGCTGTATACATTTTAATAATTGAAGTGGGTTGAATGATGCTGGAACATCAGTGGCAAAAAAAGTGGATTGAAGCTGAATATGGCAGACAAAATGACAGCTCAGATCACAACCATTCGCAGGTGGACTGGCTACCCAAGCATGTTTTCTGAAGCTCTGTTTATGAACGGTACTCCAGAAATACACATGCACCTTGCTGCTGTTTTTTTATACAGTACAGAGGATTTAATGGGCCATTAATTTTTATTCCTGTTATTTTTGGCTGAAGTTCTGCTTTAAGCAAAAATCGTTCGATAGTAAAAAATCCTTGTAACAAAAGCTGCATCGTTCTCCGGCTTTCAAAACAGATCACACGGTATAATTCGGCACACAACGGAGAAGGCCTGTGCGCTATTATTCCAGCTCTATTCCCAGTCACTGCTCCGTCCTTACAGATTACAAGTCTATTAATGTCCTTAGCGTAACTCGCATCTCGCTTATGCAAAACCTGCCCTTAATAGGACAATGTCATAATGAAGAAATCCATTTTATTCCCAGATGGTGTTTTGCGGTGGACGCGCTCCTGCTTTCCTATACACTATGCCATTTATATTATTTTTTTTGTTTCCCATTGCACATCATTATGCAAAAGGATACATTGAAGACAAGCTTAACATCCTGCATCCTTTGCCAGCAGCTTTTACCGCAAGCAGGAACCAGTTTATGCAAATGGGAGTAATAGAGGAGTCCGTGTTTTTGCTATCTTTGTCCAAAATTGCCTCTCCCAGGCCCGTGTAATATTCTAAAACATATTCGAATGCTTTTTTAAAAGAGCTCTTATATGCATTGAAATAAAATATATAGCATTCATTTCGTGAAGAAAAGAAAGAAAATAAGAAGTTATATCTGGCAATAAGTGTACATTTTAATGAAATAATAAAATGAAAAAAAGAAGAACAATTTTATGTGTTTA